AGCAACGCGAGCAAAGCGAAGCAATGCTCCCACAATGCAGTTCGGCAAAGCGTGACGTCACCCCATTCAAAGTGAATGGGCAGAAGCGTTGAAGCTTCAACGCACGCCGCCGTGTGGACGGGCCGTTATTCAGTCCCTAGATGTATTTGTATAGCTTTTATAAGAATATTACATTATAAGATTTTAGACTTGGATGTAGCTTTACATGTCCTCCTTTTTAGATTGAAAGTACTGCACACAGGCAGCCCTGCACTCATAACTCCTATTCTACAGTCCTACAGAAATACCACTGATCTATTATCCGTTTTGAGATGATGTGTTTCAACAGCTATTGGACAGATTGCCATCATATTTGGCTCAGAAGCTCATGTTCCCTTCAAAATAATGTATAATCCCTTTGGTGATCCCCAGACTTTTCATCATCAGATCAAAGCTTGAATTTGTCCAACACTTTGGCTTGTGCCCAAATACCTGCAAAGTAATGACATTCAGCATCAAGTGTACTTTGTGTGCTGCTTAAGGAGATGCTACTTTGCTAAATGAACACAAAATACACCAAACTGACCATGACAGTGAACATGATAAATGAGAATACATAATAGTGTACAGTACATGCTCTCATCAACATGTTAGCAGTGTGTCTAATGTAAAAGTTCTTTTTTTGTTTGACTGCTCATCAGACAACTTATCTTTGGCTTCTAATAGCTGCCATTTGTAATGCAATCAATTCCAGAGTTACCGTTGCACTCCTCAGTGCTGTTAAAAAAACAACAGCTAATTATCTTTCCTGGTGCATTTTTGTATTTAACTACAAAACAATTATATTATTTGATTAGGAGTATTGCATCTTGCATTCAAGGCTTAGACTTCAGTTGTGTTGACTTTTCCTGGAAAGTGCTGGACCTCCCCTCATGTGATCTGTGATAAATCAGTGCACTGAATGAACTGGGTCATCATTGGATTATGATTTGAAATGCATCAAGCAGACTCGTAGTAGAGAGTGATTTGATGCTCCGCTCCCACAGATTTACGGCTCGCTGATTTTCTTTTTTTTCAGGAACACTGGTACTATTTTATCTCAGTCGGGACTTTTATCAATTGGCAGTCTACTGATGTAAATGTTGGGTAGCAGGTGTGGACTGAGACAAATCATTCAAGTTTGATCATACTAGTCTGTTCAGGAATGAAGGTTGCAGCGATTAAAGTAAGTACATTAGTTTACTCCTAAGGTCTTTTTCTTTCCCCAGCAGCACAGGGAGGGTTGCCGCTTTGTACCGTGTGTATGTTTGTCTCTTGGCTCCAACATGTCCTCCTCAGTGGGGTTGGCTCATTTGCTTGGGTTTCTGTTCTCTCTTTTGAATCATCTCGTGTGAATGTCATAAATGAAGTCATCTTGGCTGATACAACCTAAACTTTCCTTCCCTCTTTGAGTTGGAGCTATTTGGTCGCACAACTTGCAACCCAAGAGCTGGTCATTAAGCATAGGGTAGGCTTCAGTTATATTTTTGGTGACTTTATTTCTGCTTTGCAATTGTGGTAGACTGCGAGCTAGCACACTCCCTGGTTATTTGTGTTGTGAAGTTTTCGTTTAGTCGCCTGGGATCGAATAGCAAAGCATCAGTTATTGATATATTTAACTGAATGTGCTTCAAGCTGTAATGCCTGACACTCATGTTCACTTGCAACGACTGCAGATGTCCTCACTTGAGCACTCTGTAAATTGCCACTATGCAAAAGTAAAGCAGCACTTCACATGTGGAAGAAGAGAAAACCGCTCTCCCCCAAGTGCTACCGCCTCCCCTTTTTTTCTGTTACCTCCTGCCCTCTCCTCTGCTTTTCTTTGCTCCCTCCATCCCTGCTCTTTGTCCTGGGAACGTACCAACCAGAGAGGGGGGAGAGGAGGAGAAAAAGGGGGAGGGGTGAGCAGCATGTCAGGCAGAGGAGAGGAGGGGAAAGGAGAGAATAGCATGCGGCGGAGGGTCACAGAAAGCAGACCGTGAGATCGCAGAAGGACAGGACTGATTTTGTATTTATTTTTCTGGATTTTTCCATTTCTTCTGTTGTAGCCTGCTGCTGCTTATATCATTGGGTGTTACAGTTCTGCTGGCCATCAAAGAAAGAAAGGCAACAAGAGAAAGAAGGTGAGGAAATCAGGATGGAGAATCACAATAGTGGGATGGGGCAAAATGGAGGAGATGAAAGTGGTCCCGTTGAGGATTCCTAATAACCGCCTCCTCATCCAACACCATGCTGCTACTAATAGTGTTACCTCCCACCCTCTGTCTCTGCAGCCCACACTGAGAGAGCTTACTCTGCATGTGAAAGAAAGTGCAGAGGGGGCATTTGGGTCCTGCTGAGGGGAACTTTGTCCCAGGCTGGTGAAACAGGACTATGCAAGAAGGGATGTACATTCTTATGCACACTTGTACAAATAGAGACTGGGGTCAGGTGCTGGAGTGTCAAAGAGAAGCGTACAGCTCTAAAGAAGGAAAGTGTAGGAACTAAAACAAGGAATGAAACCCAGACTTAAAGTGCTGTGAGTACAACGTGTCTTTCTGTGTCTTTGGCTGCCGTTTGGTTCTGTTGCTGCACTTATCGGAGCAATGCTTCCCCCCTGTCCTTGTGTGCCTGCAGGACTCATCAACATTGCTTGTGTGCAAAAGATGGATGTTGGATTTTCCTCTGCAGAAAGCTTTTTTTTCAGCAGTACATTGCAACTCCTCTGGCTCTCTTTAAAAATGACCATCTTGGAACCAAGATTTGTGTTGCTTTATGGAATGTTATGCGCCTGCTCCTCTGCTGTACACAGGAAGAACAGGCCACCCATGGATGTGTATTCTTCTCTAATATGACCATAAACAACTTGAGGCCAGGAAAAAAGTTATCATTTCAAATGCTAGTAACTTGTCTAGTTGTCATCCTCCTTGGGGTAGTTGTATTGCCTTTTTCTTTGTTACTAAAATGTAGAGCTTTAAATTGAACCAAGTACACCCAATTTATTATGACATATTAGGTATTATATTTTGTGATAGACAACCTATTCTCAATTAAGTTTGAGGGTGTGCATAGTTATGCCTGGACTGACAAAAGTTAAGGAAGTGAGACTGATGACTAGATGAAATGTTGTTACTTTTGTCATTAGTCTTTTCGCAGTGAAGGTGACGTAGAGGCTGCTCTGTCAGGCACAGTAGGGCAAAATGATGATGTCAGCATGACCTCATGTTAACAAAGATCATTCAAACGGCCAGATGTTATATCGGGTGTTAGTATCATAACATTTTCAAATTAGAAAAGTTCCCATCGCAGCCAGATGTGTCTGCAATAACCCACCCCCTGTCTAGACTGCGAGTGTATCGGATATATTTTTCTCGCGCACATACTCTCTCATTTCGATCCATGCAGCTGTCTGCGGCGGCTTCCTGCAGGTCGGCTGAAGCCTCATGAGGAGGACAACAACCTGAAGCATTTATATTTACGATTGAAGTTGTGTAAATGCAAGGTTGATGCCCAATAAAGAGGCACTGAATAAATATACTTATCCACATTTTGCATCCTACACGGAGTGTTCTGGCACATCGGTCCCACTGAACAGCGCGTTCTTTTATATGCACATTTAATCATATGTGTATGTGTTTGAAAAGAAACACAGCCACACAGTAAAGGGCAGTGGTGTTCAGGGAAGGCAGTCTTTCAATCAAGTCATCTTTTATGGGAACAAAAGGACTTCCATGGACTTTCCTCCTCACTCTGGAACCATGAAATTGCTCAGACATTCTGTTTAGTGGACTTTAGGAGCACACAAATACCTTTTTGCTTTTCTGACAGCACGACAGTTTTCTTTAGAATACAATTGAACAAGCAGTTGTGAGCAGTTGGGAAATTGGAACAAAAAAGTTGCTAAGATGTACAAAACATACACAAACTTAAGGAGCACTGAAACAAAGTGACGCGTTCAGAGTTTCAGTTGTTTTGAAAATAGAACCTTTTTTATACAAACCCCACAACCTGGAACGTATGTGTTCTGTGTTTGCAACATGCCTAGCAGGTGCTATGCTACATCATACTGTATCTTCATTATGTCTTCATCTGGTGTTGTAAGCTAAGTAGATACAACTCTGCCTGAGAAGTTCTACTCATTAAACCGAGGGGGGGCTCTGGGGAGAAAAAGAGCACCACATGATATAAAGCTTAAATCTTATTTTGCACAAAGAAGCGTTGACATGTTGACTCGAGGGCTAAGGAGCCTTCCATGGAGAGTCTGATTGGTGGACGATCACTCTACCTCCTTAGCCAAGGCTGATGCATGCATATTGTTATACATATGGACACAAGAAATGCATTTCATATACTGATCGACCACCTGGAGATTTCTAGAACCTGAACAGAACCTGTAGGGGATACTTCTAGGATCTGCCTTGTGTTTTTCACACCAGAATATGTTGTGTTGCCTCATCGATATACTCACTTCACATATCAGGGAAACATAGTGTGTGAGTGAAGCTGACAGTGGAAACTGAATCATAAGATCTTCTGTATATTGAAACATGGTTCAGAAGGAGGTTTTTTGAACTGGCCCCCAAAGAGGCTAGACAAAATACTTACTTCTGACAATGGATGCACATTAAGTTATGGATCATTACGTTTGTGTTGTTGAAAAAGCCCTTATGATAAAGAGTTACTGAAAAGAAGAGGCTTCATGCCGTTTTTGAGCAGCTAACAGAAATATAGATTGACTCAAATCACTGTTCCTGAGCGGAATAATGCTATCTCCTCTTGTTAACATCAAGTTAATGCCATTTCAGATGCTTCATTCAAAAATAGCCATGAAAAGAATGGTGGAACGGATAATTATGAAAGAATGTGGAATTATTTCAAGAGACATCAAAAATTGTCTAGCAAACATGAATAGAATGGAAACTAATAAAGTGTTTTTGTTCATGACCATCTGATTCTACCTCTTGCTTTGAAATGACAAATGCTCTCTTCTCTGTGTCCTCCAGTTGTCCCTCGGGGATGAACAGTGTGAAGTGACGCGGAACGGCTATGAGTCGAAGGAGCTGGTGTACCTGGTCCATATCTTCTGCCAGGTAAGAGTCCACTGGGTTCGATACTGCGGTTTTTCTTTCAACTTTTCTTTTCAAACTTGTGGGAACGGAATTCCATCCCACAAATGATGCTTCAGTCGACTTGTTCAGATACCCAGAGCAGTCTCTCCCTTGAGAAGGCCGCTGGCATACATTGAGACATTTCTGAAACACCTAAGTGTTTCAAACATCCCAGTTATGTGGGAATTTGGAACTGAATTGAAAGAGCTGCGGGTGAATGCCAGGATGGCTGAATTATTCTGAAGAATGTCTGATAATGAGAGCTTCAAACCGTGAACTTTACAAAGCACTGTACGCATGCATCTTCATATTTGAGCATACTACCTCAGCAGGATTATTTAAATGACATTGCCTGTTTATGCATTGTTTTCTGTTAATGTGTTTCTATGTCATTGGAAACTCAATTATGATTGTGAAACAGATATTGTGCAAGTTCTTATGAAGTGTACCGTTCATTTGGCACTGTTGTGTCCATGGTGATATCTTATTATAACCAATTGTCGTTGTGTTGGCTGTTGAAGTTTTTTCAAATAGAAAAAAGGGATGACTTTGAATTCGTTGTTTAGGAGGGATGTGGGAGTAAAGTAAAAACCAAATACTTTATGATTACATAATATAGTTTTTCCAAAAATGTGATTAACCCAGAATTGGACATTACATTAGAGCAAACATGCACAGCTGCTCTGAAGCTTTGCCCCAGCTGCCTCCAAAGACATTTTTGATTCTGGTTTCCTGTATTTCCCTTCTGCTCATAATCTTGGCAATGCAACACAGTATGTGCTTTTGAACTTTGGCAACTTCTTTCAGCCGTCATACCATTTTTAAATCTACACTAGTTCTATTTGAACAGGTTGCGAATGTGTTTCCTGAAACAGAGAACTAACCCAGTGAGATTGGTTCAGTTCCACATACCCAGAAATGGGGGTAACTAGAAGCAGCATCTGAAAGTGGGGCAGGACACCATCAAGAGTTCCTTCCAATGCATCTTTAAAAACAGAACTAGAATCAGCTGTGCTCTGCAGTCCCAGTTGTCAAGCCTTGGTCTCGGTTCAGACAGATCTTTCTGGGGCAAATCAAAGCAACATACTTTTTCCACCACCAGTCCCCTTCAGTGGGTTTGAAGGTTTGGAGCCCGGCCTTACTGGATGAAAAACATATCCATTGCAAAAATCGTTTTTTTAAAAAGAAAAGTTACATTTAATGTGGTGGATTCAGGGCAGCATTTTCTAGGATTGCATTTACACTGGTCACATTTAATCGCTGTCTGTTTTGTTTGGAAAGACATTTGAAATATTAAAGTCCATGGGTGACTTGATTGTCGATTTTGAGACAGTGCCATTGGGTTAGAGGCACGAGAAGAGCGTCTGTCTGACAAACAGAATCCAAGAGAAACGATAGAAAAACAGTCTCACTAGTTTGGGCTGCTAAAGGATTTATGGGCTGCTCCATATGCTAATGAGGCTGGTGGCTCGTTTTGTAATGTTATCCACAAAGTTCAGCTACTAGCAACAGGTGTGTTGTGTCAGTGTTGACCTTGAGTATTGGACCACACCGGACACCTGGAGAAGCCTACTTTAGTTTAAGGGTCTAAACCAGATAATGATATATATTAGCAGGTAGCCGTTACAAGCATCTTTAATAATGATGATTATATTTGCTGTATTTGTTTGGTACCTACATAATTGAGTTATTACGTTATTTCCGAGAAAAGAGAAATGAAGAGATAGCAATTACATAATTTGACAGATTTGATTGATTTGTAGGAATGGACCTGCACTATGGATTTCATCATTTAGCTTCTGATCTAGATTTTAGGGACCAAGTTAGGACTTGGTCCCTAAAATCTAGATCAGAAGCTAAATGAGTCTGCTTTCATGTCAATAAACCTGCGTAAACGTTTGATTGGCCATGGAACAGTAACAAGCTGCTAACACTGTGACTGAACAGTGGGTTTACAAAGTCTCTGTGGTCGATGAGCGTCTGCCATGAGTGATGGACGATTACATCATCATTTATTGACCTAACTCTAATGTATCTGAGAGCAGTGGAAGTGAGTGAGAACTGTCGGCCTTAACACCAAAACAATGAGTTGAAAGACATTCAATGCCCTGAGTGGAGCTTTAGAGTAGGGTGCTGTTTGTCACAACAACATGGGTGGGACCTTGTATGTTATATAATGTTGTGTGTGCTGTCACCCATGTTAAGTTTGTTGTTATACAGTGATTGTGTATTACTTCTAATACTATTTAAGGTTTTCTTTTGTTATGTTTCTATGGATTTCACAATACAATTTGTTTAGTTTTCCTGTTATATCTTTTAGGTTTGGTGAAATCTTTCCATACAAAATTACTTTAAGGTGGGGTATGTCATTTATTTCAGATACACTTTTTGTTATATTCCATGGAATGCTCTTAACATCCCGATAGCAATGAATATATTAAATGCTTTGACAATAAATACATTAAAAATGTCATCAGTGGAAGCCGTGGCGCTGTAAAAAGCACGACCAATCATCTGAGCCGGCCCCGCTAAAATAACTGGATGGCCTACCTGCCTGTCAGCCTTCCATCTGTGCACAAACTTATCTCGTGCCCTCATTGGTCATGTCCGCGTTCGTGTGTGTTGGAGGAGGGGCTCTGTGAGGAAGTCTGAAGGAAGAGGCAGATTTTTTTCCGGTTGTACTTTCAAATTCTAGCGCACTCGAGCTGGTTTCTCCAAAATGACATACCCCTAACTTAACCTAGCTGCAGTTGAATAGAAACATGTCTCACTTGTAGCTCTTTAAGCTGATTGTATTCTGTCTGTTTTTTTATTCTAACTGTTTACCCTTTTGTGTTGTCCTTTTTGAAGGGTCGAAGTTGGATTGTGAAGCGCAGCTATGAAGACTTCCGTGTCCTGGATAAGCACCTGCACCTCTGCATCTACGACCGACGCTTCTCACAGCTGCCTGAGCTGCCCCGACTGGAGAGTCTGACTGACCAGTCAGAGGTAAGAGCTGTAAGAAAATACAAATGTAGTAATAAGCTGATATGGAGCTTCAGTAAAGGCTTAGTAAAGATGTTTTTTTCCTACATATAGTAAGCAGTACTTAATCTTACATATCTTTTGAATGCCCTCACTAAACTATCCAGGACTTGGTCACCACCAACATTGAGTGAATGCTAAGAGGTAGCTGGCCATAAACTGTTAGGGAGGCGTGTGGCGCAGTGGAATAGTGCGCCGGTGTTCGGATCAGGGGACCAGGGGAGCACAGGTTCAAACCCCACTGCAGTCAGCATGTCGTTGTGTCCCTGAGACACTTCACCCCAAATTGCTCCTGTGGGGATTGCCCACAGTATTGAGTATGTGAGTCGCTTTGGATAAAAGCGTCTAACAGTTACATTAACAGTAATGTAGTAATGTAACTAGACAACAGGGTAGCAGTTTATATATGAAAGGTGTTACCATGCTTTGATATCCTATATGATCTACATTTCATTGCTCTTGGAATCTACAGGTTGATATTTTGCCGACTACTGTGTGCATGTGAAAGGTATTGTGAGCCAGACAACCTTTCTGAGGCTCTAAGAAGAATGCAGAGGTTAGGTATCAAGAGAACTGGTAAAACGTGTTCATCACAGAGGGCTATTGTGCATTTGGTGGACACTCAAAACTGCCTGTGGTATTCCACTTTCACAGTGCACACTTTGACTTGTAGCTGTACCCTCCTGTTGTCTTCGGGTTAAATCTGACCCATTTACTACTTTCATCAATCATAACTGTTTAGTTTTAAATTCGATTGCATTAAGGCTTTATGATATCCTTCACAGTAGACATTTGAACATATACAATTGCTGATCACCACTTTCATTGAATTTTGGATGATTTAGTCAACTTTGTAACACCCATGGTGTTCCCGGTCAAACATGACCGCCATAAAGAAAAGGAATTAGTAACCATCCGGATCAGATAAAACACACACACACACACACACACACACACACACACACACACACACACACACACACACACACACACACACACTCTAGATGTGTCCCCTGCCCTATGTGCCCATCCCCCCATGTGAATCACACCTGGCACAAACACACACACACAGAACAATTTGACACATTTCCCGCTCTTATGTGCCCATCCCCCCACACGGATCACACCTGGCACACACAATACATGTTCAGTGTCTATTCTTTGTATATTTACTGCAGTTTTTCATGTATACCAGTAGTCTGATACAATATGTACAGTTTGAAAGGGTGTTAAATGAAATTTGGTGATGATTAATGGTTTTTGTGTTAATGTAATAGCAGTTAAAACAGGACCGGTCAAATTTGACCGCGAACACCAAAGTAAGGGGGAAACGAAGACGATAGGAGGGTTAAAGAATACATTGATACACCATTTTGATGTACAGCACGAGGGTTAGGTGGGTCAGGTTAAAACAAGAAGTGTACTACAGCCTTAAAGTCTCTACATTATTCTCAATACAATTATTAACTAAGCAGGTGTTGGGCAAAGAAAGTATAAAACTAAATTGGCCTTGTAATATAAAGTCATAGCTGCCAATGTCTGTTTAAGTGGTGCACTGCCACGCACAAGTCTTGAGCTGTGTAATTAGCTGCTGCTTTGTCATTCAGAAATGAGACTTGTTATGGTAGTTATTAAAGAGGACACATTATGCTCATTTTCAGGTTCATATCTGCTTAGATGTTTAAAGAGGTTTTTCTCTTACTACCTGTGCTGCTGCACCTCTTTTCGCCCTCGGTCTGAAACCAGAGTCCACAGTGCTCTGATTGGTTAGCTGGTTGGCTCTGCTGTGATTGGTCAACCGCTTAGAGATGGGTCAAAAATCCCCCCCCCCCCTCAGCTTATTGCATACAATGTGTTTGATCGCTAGCCAATAGAATAGCTAATGTCACTATGTTACATAAGTAAACAAAATAGTCCATGTTTCAGGCGGGGGGGGGGGGGGAGTTTGTGGGAGGGAAACATTGATTGATTGATTGATTGATTGATTGATTGATTGATTGAAACATAGGGATTTGAACCTTTTTGCCATCTGAAATCAATGTAATGACTCTGACCTGTTTGTGTATTGTCTGCCCTGTTAGTCAGTTTCCCAGATGTTGTTGGCTTACCTCTCCCGGCTCTCGGCAATTGCTGACAACAAGATCAACTGTGGGCCCGCCCTCACATGGATGGAGGTGAGCCTGCCATGCACACAGCATATCTCAATGAATTGAGAATCCAGTTGTAACTGCTGTAACCCTGTCGTAAGGTCCAATGCACAAAACATATTCTAACATAAAGTGCAAACACGGCCAAAAGGTTTGGCAGATACCAGTTTGCCCTTTGTTTGCGTCTGATTACAATTATTCTTGTGGCAAAATATAAATGTGCTTAGGTCAATGCTCCAGTTGACACAGACACACCAAACAGACATAAAAGCACATCATACGAGCCATTCCTTATATTCCATACTTTCTCTGTGTACATTGCCCATTTTTCTTTAAATTCTGATTCACTGCACATTTTGTATACCCAGAATAAATGTGATATTCATAGTATTATAGATTTTTTTATTTTTTATTTAAAATGTATATTATATAGATATTCATAGTTACTTGTACATTTATATTTCTTGTAAACATTACATTTCAATTCCAGACAGGCATGACGTACTTGGTCATGATCTTTTCTAAGTCAGATGATAGCCACCATCCATTATTCAATGCAGTGTGTGTGTGTGTGTGTGTGTGTGTGTGTGTGTGTGTGTGTGTGTGTGTGTGTGTGTGTGTGTGTGTGTGTGTGTGTGTGTGTGTGTGTGTGTGTGTGTGTGTGTGTGTGTGTGTGTGTGTGTGTGTGTGTGTGTGTGTGTGTGTGTGTGTGTGTGTGTGTGTGTGTGTGTGTGTGTGTGTGTGTGTGTGTGTGTGTGTGTGTGTGTGTGTGTGTGTGTGTGTGTGTTGTGTGTGTGTGTGTGTGTGTGTGTGTGTGTGTGTGTGTGTGTGTGTGTGTGTGTGTGTGTGTGTGTGTGTGTGTGTGTGTGTGTGTGTGTGTGTGTGTGTGTGTGTGTGTGTGTGTGTGTGTGTGTGTCAGGTTGACAATAAGGGAAATCATCTGCTGGTTCATGAAGAGTCGTCCATCAACGTGCCGGCTATTGCTGCTGCTCACGTCATCAAGCGCTACATCGCCCAGGCCTCAGACGAGCTGTCATTCGAGGTGACAACACACACATACACACATACACACATACACACACACACACACACACACACACATACACACACACACACACACACACACACACACACACACACACACACACACACAGGGGAACACACATGCTCTCTCTGTGTCTCTGTCTACAGATATATAGAGATTCTATTAAAAAACCTTGTGGATATTTAAAAAAGAAATAACTGCCGATATCATAAAGTTGTCATTCAAACACTTATGTTAAAACGGTCCAAACTGTTTTAGCTCTTCATTTATTAAACCGGAGTATATTGTATTATATTGTATATTTTATAATACTCTCTTTTATAATTTATGATTTATGCTTTTTCCTCTAATGTTTTATTTTTAGTACATGTTTTATTGTTATACACTTAACACTACACAAATCATTTTGCTCAGAACAATCCTTTACTAAAAGATACTCTTTCAGTTGAAATGTAATTGTAGTCATCACTGATGTCTTCTTCCAACAAAAGGTAAAAGGACAATCAGCATTTTCTAATATTTCCCCTCTGTGCAGGTTGGGGACATTGTGTCAGTGATTGACATGCCCCCTAAAGAAGACACCACATGGTGGAGGGGCAAGCATGGCTTTCAGGTACGCAGCTTAACAGAACACTATGCAGACTGTGAGCAAAAACACACACACGCTTCATCTTTCTCTGGCTTTTTTCTCGCCGTCAACTTCTGATTAGCTTTGCACTTGAGGCATTTCAAGGACGAGAAGAGAATATGCTTTGTAAAACAGATTTCAAATAGTCAGAGTTTGTTGAAAGACAAAGCCTGTGAGCAGATAACAGGTTGGACTGATTCATGTTCACAGGCTTCAGTCCCATCCTGTAACACAGTGAAACTAGGGCTGTTTAGGACTTCAGGTTGAGTTATATAAAAAAAAAAAAAACGCTAACAGTCAGCCAGACTTACTAAGTGGGCCTCCAGAGATTTAAAGCACATACAGGGAGCAGCATTTGTGGTATTGCAAGACATTCTTTTGTTTTTTAGGAAGACAGACACATTGATTCATTTTGAAGCTTATGGGCAGGGCTGCACATAACTGGTGCGCAGGTGCGCATGCGCACCCGCCGCGAAAAAAGGAGCACCGGATCATTTGAAAAAAGGCGCATTTGCGCGCCAACATTGAGAGAGAGAGAGATATTTGCGAGTTGCATATGAACGGGTAAGATAGCAGGGTTTCCCACACATAGACTTTACCTGGGCGTGCCACTCAGGTATATTAACGGCCGCCAAAGTATAATTCGTAAGCCGTTTAGGTTTGATTTTTTTAATCCGTCCGCGAGCACGACGGCATCTGTCGATCCCTCGCTCTATCCCCTCGCTATCGTGTGAAGGGTCTGCTTTATGCACTCCGCACAGTAACCCTGCTGCGAGGCTCCGGTGAACAGTCCATGAGCGTGCTCACTAGCGCAACTCCCCCCCCCCCTCGTTTATTACATTACATTACATTGCATTTAGCTGACGCTTTTATCCAAAGCGACTTACAATAAGTGCGTTCGTCCAACAAAATACAACTTGAAGAAAACAGAATCATATAAGTACATCAGGCTTCATAGAGCAAAAACATTTAAAGTGCTACTCAACTGGCTTTAGAAAAGCCAGTCCTTTATTAGTATAAAAGTGCTTCGTTAATAGTTCTATCGCTCGAAGTGGAGTCGAAAGAGATGAGTTTTCAGTTTGCGCCGGAAGATGTGTAAGCTATCTGCTGTCCTGATGTCAATGGGGAGCTCATTCCACCATCTTGGAGCCAGGACAGCAAACCCACGTGTTTTCGCCGTTGGGAACTTGGGTCCCCCTCGCAGCGAGGGCGCAGCGAGTCGTTTGGCTGATGCAGAGCGGAGTGCACGTGCTGGGGTTTACGGTTTAACCATGTCCTGGATGTACGAAGGGCCAGATCCATTCACAGCATGGTAAGCAAGTACCAGTGTCTTGAAGTGGATTCTAGCAGTTACCGGAAGCCAGTGAAGGGAGCGTAGGAGCGGAGTGGTGTGGGAAAATGTAGGAAGGTTGAAGACCAGACGAGCCGCTGCATTCTGGATGAGCTGCAGAGGTCGGATGGCACATGCAGGTAGACCAGCCAGGAGGGAGTTGCAGTAGTCTAGGCGTGAGATGACGAGAGCCTGGACCAGAACCTGCGTGGCTTTCTGAGTCAGCTGGGGACGTATCTTCCTGATGTTGTAAAGCGTGTATCTGCAGTAACGGGTTGTAGCAGCGATGTTTGCAGTGAAGGACAGGTTGTTATCTAGGGTCACACCCAGATTCCTTGCAGTCTGAGTCGGGGAAACAACTGAGGTGCCGATGTTGATTGTTAGGTCAAGAGTGGGACAATCTTTTCCCGGAAGGAAGAGCAGCTCAGTCTTGTCAAGGTTGAGCTTGAGGTGATGAGCAGACATCCACTGAGAGATGTCAGCTAGACAAGCAGAGATGCGTGCGACGACCTGGGTTTATAAAGTCAAGTACCCCTCAAAAGGTCCGGTTTATTTCATTTTAAGGATGCGCACCAAGCAACATCTCCAGGTGCTCCTTTGAGAACCAGGGCTAAAAGGTTGTGTGCACCCCTGCTTATGGGTATATTTTTCTGTCACAGATTTGATTTATTCTGACACAGAATTGTATTTGAGAATAACACAAGACTTCACCACTATTTAGTAAGACTAATGAAGTGAGTATCATCCAAAGTGTCAGTCTTGTAAGAACACAATTCCATCCCCACTAAGCAGAGTCCAGGGGAACACAAAGAGCAAATTCATAAAAAGACTGGCTTTGGATGATATCTGCTTTGATTCAATCAGATATCTGTCCTCTTTGTGTTGTGTGAATCCTACTGCACTAATGCTAAGACGTGAAGATGAGACTTTTTGAAGATTCCTTGTGTCATTTATTTTCTGAGCTTGATGAGCTTGATCATCTCCAAAATGATCAACAGGTTAGTCAGAGAAGCCGACTCCACTCTGATCTGCTTCCTTGCTAACAGTAGCAGCAATCACAGATTAAAAGCTTTATATAGCCTGAGGGGGGAGAGTTTCAGAGGGAGGGTCAACAATAGAGGCCCTGTCCCTCAAGGTCAGGGGCTTGAACTGGTTGAGTCTTTGAAGACCTTAGTGTACAGATGATATGTTTTCCAAACTGAATCTTTTTACTGCAGTGACCTGGTTCGATGCTCAGGTCAGGCTGAACCTCCGTTGACCCGCTGCACCCTCTACATCCTGCCCCAGCTCCTCTTGTGTTTTGGCTCACTTCCTTCAAGAAGTAGTGCCTGCCAGTCAGGCTCACGGGCAGGCACTTTACTGATGCTCCACTTGTTTTTCAGATGAGTGGTCAGTGGCTGGAGACCACTGCCCTCTTTAGGATCACACAGCTTCTGCCTCTAAATATACAGAGACATGGAGAAAGCACCCTTGTGTAGCCTTACCTTTTTTTGGGGGGGGCGGTTACAGGGGACCCAACCCCCTTAATAATGCACATGCATTCGAGACCCCTGCGACATTTCCACCATACATTGAATCGTAAAAGTTGACCACAGTACAGGACTTTTTTTCAGGGGAGACACACTTTAAACCCAGTGTGTGTCCCCTGTGTCTAATATATCATATTCCAATCACTTGTATATAGACTCTTATTGCACTATTTCAATATTTCACTTTTTTTTCTTTTGTATTACTATTTACTTGCACAATTATTTTTCTGTTTTATTGTGTTGCACTGTTGGAGTGAGCCTGTGACCTAAGATTTTCATCGTCATAACTACATTGTAGCTAATCATGTATGACCAATAAAAGCCTTGGACCTGTGTGGAAGCTAAACCTATGCCCTTGTGAGTTGGGGAACTAACTGAAATGCCCAAAGTGAGGGGACACAAACACCTGCTGTACCACCTGTATCCGTTAGAGGGGGTCAATGAGGGTAGTGGTTTTCTGCTTTAACACTGTGCTTCATCGGCTCAGAATTTCCATCGTAAAACATTTCTAACAGATTTTTTTCCCGGTCAAAGTCCAGAAAACTCTGATTCGTCTTCTTTGATATAGGGTTTTTAAGAAATCACCAAATCATCAGCACCAAACTGCTATTTTCTAGAGCAGCAGGTACACAGATACACTTACCGGTAGTTTGTGTGATGCGGTCATTTTCACACCACATGAAAAGTAAATGTCCATACCAAGCCCTAAATGTTGTCTCTGTCACAGTTTAATAACACAACCACCACTGAGCATAGGATTCTTGTCCTCTCTATCTTTATTATGATTTCTAAATGAGATTTTATTTCCTCCCAGCTCACTTCACTTTCACTCCTCTTCCAGGTTGGCTTCTTTCCCAGCGAGTGTGTGGAGCTCATAAATGATAAAGTGCCGCAGTCCATGACCAACACTGTGCCAAAACCAGGTATTCCCCCCCCCCCCCCCCTCCTCCTCTTCCACCTCTTCCTCCTCTTTATCCACTGTAAGGAAATGTTTTGGAAATACATTATCACTGAGGGCTGGTAATGCGATACGGCTTGGTGTGTGCGTGTGTTTGTCAGTGCGTGAGAGTGTGTTTGAGAGATATACCTTGCCAACAAATATTTCACTGGTCTAAATGATTTGTGTCATGGAATTCAGTTTGTATTTAAAAAGAGCTCTATAGGGTATTTCTTTGATTAAGTTTATCATCTTTACTCAACATATCATCATTTTGAGTGGGTGAATTTCCCAAACTTCAACTTATTCACAGATCCATGCTCAAGGTTTTCACTTTTTTTCTTAGAACTGAATCACAATACATCATCTGTATCAAGATTATCAATAATAATCTAAGACATATGTTTAACATAAACCCTCTTGGAACAACACTTGGCATGTCTGTCATGTTTACTGTGAGTGAGTCAGATCGACCCCAGTGTGTTGTACCAGTCCCGTGTCTTCTCATCCAAAGACTGATCCTACAATATGACTCACTATCACAAGAACCCGCTGGCTTTGGGGTGAGCGCGTGGAGCCAGGGTTCCTCCCCATCAAAAAGCCTCTGAGACTCCGGGGTCCACATTAAGTGATGACACGGCGAACATAAACCCACCCCCTGCAAGAATCCACTTTTGTGAGGGACAGAATATCAGTAGCAGGGTTTCGGTCCTGTTGGACGTGCCAATCCAGTTTCAAACGCAGGTTGGAACGCTGTGTTTACTGTTACAGTGCACGCACAGCACAATCTGCAGACAGGCCCCCACTCAACCTTCCCCCCCACTCCCCGCTGCTGAGCAATGACCCAATGCTTCTGCTTTTTCTGTTTGTATTTTTGCATGTGTTCTTAATTTGTTAATCATGCATTCTTTATTTACTGAGTATCCGCAGGTCAAGAATATTATTATAGTTATAAGTAAACATAAATGTGTTTCTGTTGTATAGCTCGTTATTATATACATGTATTATTAAGTGGTCATGTCCTTTTAACTATGTTCAATCAGAAATATTTTGTTAGCCATAACCAGTGTAATATGTAATCTTCTATAACCTGCAGGTGTTATCAGTTATACCAACATGGCTCTAAATGAGCACATCCTGCATCAGCAGCAGAACACATAACTGACTGTAATGTGGTTTGAGCTGCCTGTGTGTTCTCCACTGCGACGCTTCATTAATCCTGCTGTTGGATGTACCGTAGCATTAGCATGTGTCTTGATTGGTTGCATTTGACTGTGACTCCTCTGCCTCAGCCTCCCCCTGCTCTGGCCTGCAGCCTGCTTCTTGGAGTCTCTTCCCTCCCTGTGCGTGTTGGTATACACACTCCATCCACCACCTGTCCGCTCACTCAACCTTCACTCACACACAAAAATGCATTTTCCACATTTAGACTTGTACGACATATTGTTTATCTGAGTTTGGATGCAATTAAAGTTATAATCCTTAAGATTTAGGCCCGGTTGATGTATGGTTACCAGTAGTAACAGCAATTGCAGGTTAAGATTTCAGAATTCTGGGGTCAGAAAACAATAAATGAACAGCTTATTTGTCATATATCCAACATAAGAGCAACTGTTACATTTCTTTACAGTAGCGCCTAAACATTTGCATTATGATGATATAGAAGTTGGACAGTAATTACCCTTTTAATTCCAGCTATTAGCAACCTGCTGCAGCTTTTTCATGTTCCACATTGACAGTCTGAAGGTGTGCCGTCTGTGAAATGTTACTTAGCATTAGCTCTGATGCAGTGTCAACAGTAAACAATGACACTGATATCAATCCGATCAAATTATAAACAATAATCCTGGATTACACAGAATGTACTGCTTTGATAATGCTGAAAAAATGCATACCATTAAAAGTACTAAAAACGGTTTGATTTCATGAATGTCTTCAGAATTATAACTTTAAATTCCCTTTTTATTGATGAATGCCAAGAATACTGCAGTGCTAAACATTTTATTCTGCAATGTTTATTGCTCTAGCATCATCACAGTACACATTTGCTCTGTTCTCTAACTTGAAGTGCTTCTCTCCCCTGCCGACTCTCATGTCTCCACCATCCATCCATCCATCTGTCTGTGGGGCCATCTGTCCATCGGGCTGCATGCAGACTTGGAGATGGAGAGTGTAATTCAGGACAATGCATGGGTGGCCGACCCGCTAAACCACTACAGCCTAAGTTCAGGTAGACAAAAAATCCTTTGGTGTGCTGCATTGCCCCCCCCCCAACCAAAAACTAACTCCATAACCTGAGGAATGTGTTTGCACTGTTCCCACCACCCTAACATAGTATGTATTTGTGAAGATTGGGAAAAGGCTTCACTTTTCACTCAGGAGAACTTTGTACACTTTTTGGTGTTACTTTACAACAGAGGGACCGCTCACACTTTGCCCCGTCCGTGACCTTTAACACATTATCTCCACACTCTGTCGGTGGACCAATAAGACAACAGCCACATCTGAGCATGCATGACTGTGCTGTGAAAATAGCCGGTTTTTTTCTAGTATGTGTGTTGGTGTGAACTTCCTTAATTAAATTACAAAACATCTATCTAAGAAAAGGTGTGAATATAACAAGTGGTATTTTTCTTATATATTATATATATATTTTATTGTTTTCATATAACGCGTTATTTGTTTCAGGCATTTGATGGCATCTGTTTGTAGAAGGCAAGGCAAGTTTATTTATATAAGCACTTTTCAACACAAGGCTTTACAAAATGAAAAGTCGTGGGTCTTGTTTTAAAAGAGGCGAGTTACAGCGGAGGTCTTTGGGAGTATGTTCCAGACATATGGAGCATAATAACTGAACGCTGCTTCTCCAAGACTAAAAAAACCGATATATAAAGGTTTCAAGATTAGATGCAGTGGTGTAAAAATGAAACCCCACTTTTCAAATGTTGCTCTACAAAGAGAACAATTGTATCCCTCCAGCCCGCAGTTTTTTTTCTTCTGTTTCACCCCAAAAGGTGTATGCAAATGAGTTCAGGGGTGAGCCAGGTTACTACAGCGTTTCTCAAAGCCGCTGAATGTTGGGTGTGTGTGTGGACGGGGGCCAGCTGTGTTTGTCTGTGTGTCTGTTCCGTGGCGACTGAAAGGGCGCGCGGCTCCCCCGCCGTGGTGCTAGGTCTCGACCGGCCTTGATTTATTTAATCCTTTTACAATGAGGGGGCCTGTAAATCCATCCATTGAGCGTTAAGCTTTGTCCTGCAACAGTAAGAATCTCTGTCTCCCTCTCCATGGTGACTGAAAGAACACATTCCTGCAGGGAGCCGCACGGCTTTGGAAAATCTCTTTGCTCTACCCTCGATCCACTCCGCTCACCACTAACCTTTGCTGTTTTTAGGCGAAACTATGGAAATTGTTAACATGCTGCACTGCTCCAATTAAAACAGAGACGATAGAATAGAAGCAGGAGTCATTCGGTCCATGTGTGTGTTGTGTTGCAGTCTGAGGTGGGAAGTAACTAAGTACATTTACTCAAGTAAAGTACAAGTATCTGCAAATTATAGTGTTTCCATTTTATGCTACTTTGTACTTCTACTCCACTACAGTTCAGAGGTAAATGGTGTACTTTTACACCTTCAGTTACTTCACAGATGTGGATGAATGATGTGAAATATAATCAAGTGTTAAATCAGACTTTAGTTCCACCTGGAGTAAATCCACAAGCTACCCTGCAGTATACAAAGTCATTCAAACTAGCTGCACCTTCACCAACACTTTCATGATCAATCATTATAAAACATATCATATATATTATTCTGAAATTGACCAATCTGCACAATGACTACTTTTACTTTTGGTACTTTAACTATATTTTGATGATAATACTTTAGTACTTTTACGTGAGTTACATTTTGAATGCAGGACTTTTACTTTTAACCATAGTATTGCTACACTCTGGTACTCTGAGTACTTCTCCCTTCTCTGGTTGCAGTGGAACTCTCTTCAGACTCTTCTGTTGACATCAATATGAAAATAAAGAGTTGTGAGCTTTTGATGAAATGGACAATCAGCCTTCTTTCCTCTCCAGACAGCACAACAGTCACTGAGCCAGATGTAGCTCTGCCCCCCCCCCCCCAGGCCTTCGTCATGCCTGGGGACCTGTGATTTGTGCAGCTGTGAGCATACATGAGCCAAGACAGCTGGCGATGTGAAGGAGAGAGGAGGGGAAATGGAGAGAGAATGTGCGAGACAGAGTCATATTTGTCCTCCTGTTCCCGAGGATCTCCGATCATTTCCTGGTGCTTAAGCTCCGGGCCGTGAAACCAGCCAAGGCCTCCTGTAACCTGTTGCTCTGTAGATTCAATAAGACACTGTTGTTGTAGGCCGCACCTTTGTGTGGGGAAGTGAACAACTCTCAAGAACTCAATGTGTACATATCATTTAACACCTTTACTTCCTTCTTGCGAAATGTTTTCTATATAATGTCCATAGTTGCTTTACTACTGTATTGCATCATTATAAAAATCTGTCGCATAAGTCATTACTAATTACTTAAACAAAAGATTAAGTATTGTCCTGTTGCAAAGCTACAAAGCTTACAGACATTTTTACAATAGGTAGGAATTTGGATTTACAACTAGTTTCAGACAGCATGGCGCGCCGCTCCTGTGAATTGGACTTGGCTCGCAGCTACTAAAACAACTTCCTCCTTCTTTCCACATCCCAGTGAAAAACAGATTATATTCACATCCATGCAAAATAGCAGCTTAATGATCCTTAATCTAACAGAAGGCTCTCATGCTGTTTTACGTTTTATGACGTCAGGGCAGTAGCTAGTAGCTACTTCCTGTATGGTTGACTGGTGTCTCATAGCTCATCCCTATTGGTCCTCTGTACTAAAGGCATACACTGCTTCACTGTCTCTGACACCAAACTTCATTGTATACAAAGTGGACGAATGAAATAGAGGGGAGAACTTGCTTATTGAACCGTATGCTATCTATTACAGCTCCTGTATATCATTAGTAGTTCAGAAGTGACCTCTCCACCTTGTTTCTGCTCTGTAAGTGATAGTGGAGGACACATACAGACATTTCCCCAGTGTGTGGAATGATTGCTGGATGATTTTAGGGTGGAAAACTATTTCATAGAGTACAACATTACATACACATGGGACATGCACAGTGAATAATTGTTCAGTTTCTTTACTCACGTTTTTTTTTTAAAACAATAAAACTAAGTAAAATTAAAATACTCCATTAAGTAAGTGCAGAAATACATTTGTTTGGTAAAATAAAAGTAATATTTCAGCAAACAAAGGGTTATGACATTATTAGATTGCAAATACTAATGCATCAAGTGTTTTGCATGTGTATATAACGTGAGTATTGTCCTGTGGTTACCCATCCTAAGGGGTAGAGAGAAGTCTGGATGATCTCCAGATGATTCATGTGGTAGGAGAAAGAGAGTAAGGAATTAAGGATACACAACTTTGTGTTTATGATTTTAAATGTTGGTCTGATACTTTGCTTTTTGTGAAAAAGTTAACTATCAGAACCTAAAAGACATTTGAGGATCATTAATAAGAAATGTCTGTCTTTGTTTGACATTTTTAGGTGATCACATGCAGTGGAAAAGTCCGACTCCAGTCTTGTGATTCTGGACCAACAACAAATTAGTTTGACTTTATTTAGACTTGTGTGCGTAGAGACTCTAGTTAAGGAATTAACAAGATAATGCTTTCAGGGGGAAGGGGCCCCTCAGAGGGAACGCTTATTTAGAGTCAAGTGAAGGCCGTCCTGTATGTTGTTATGGCAGAGAAGAAGATAATTCAGTGTGTTTGTATCATGTGTGTGTGTTCAGTGTAAAGGGATATTTCCCACTGTGTAGGTGTAAACACAGGCTTGCCTCTTGGCTGCCTCCAGTGCTGCCTTCAAATGCTGTCGGGAATCTAAGAATCAAGCCCATACACAAGTCTGTCATGTAAATGTGACTAGTTGGCTTAACGGAAGAAAACATTTAAACTATGTAAGCAACTGATTACCAATAGGGAACACATCAGTACGTTTACCACCACAGTACATTCTGTACTATGGAAAGTAATTAAGGACATGTACTCAAGTACTGTACTTATGTACAATTTTGAGGTTGGTGCCCTTTACTTGAATAATTTGGTTCTGCTACTTTTCACTTCTACTCCACTCAAAGTTGGAGTCATATTTGTTCTTTTTACTCCTCTACATTTATATTACATTATGAATGACTTTGTAAGTTCATATTGTTAATTCAAAATCAATTAATCAACTCATGAAATATGATGTACCATTATGGATTAGAATATCTGGAAGTACAAGAAGTCATTAAAGCTCCCTAATTAAAATGATGTACACATGAATGCATCACTAACAATAACCCAGTAGTGCTGGTACTTTAGGCATAATTTCATGCTAATACTTTGGTTCTTTATCTTGAGTAACATTTTTGATGCAGGACTTTAAGTTGAAAAAAGAGTATTTCTACACTGTGATATAACTACTTTTACTTAATTAAAATATGTTAGTACTTATTTCACCACTGTGTACTGTTAATTTAAACACCAAGTGGTTTCAAACTGTTTCGTCCAACGTGGCAACAATGCTTAGCAAAAACAAACATAGGAACTCTATGATTATTTTTTATGGAAGTGGAGATCTTTTCAGAAAAATTAAAGTAATTTTGGATTAATATATCAAGTAATACTACATATATTTACAAATGTTTTCATCAATATGCAGTTTTTGGTAGACTGCGATTACCGGAGTATATTTTTCCCGGGGGGCCCTGAAGGCAGCATGCTGATGTGGTTAATCGCAGCGGGCTGTGTGGATGAGATGACGGAGCGAGGGAACAGTCTACGCCTCTCCTCTCTGTCCAAACTTCAGCGCTATTCTCTTTCTCTCTCTGCCCGAAGCACCTCTCCGTGTCTGGGACAGCCGGTTAGCATTCAGCTCTCTTTAGCTTAGCTGTACGGTCAGAAAATAACTACCTATTTGTACTTTGGACTTATTTTGAAACCTTGTCATAAAGCCTCAAAGCGAGTCAAGCGTTATGGAACCAAGGTAAGACATTTTAAAAGTCTGATATAACTATATGTACTGGAGTGAATTTATATAATTTTACATTATTACATACAGCCTTTTTCTACCAGTATGGTGTTTTAGGGGGAGTAAATGATGCCGACAGACTGCAGTATGATGA